ACGATATGCATTGCCAAAATATATTTTCTTACAAGATAACACAACATTTCCTCCTTCGAAATCTAGCCTCATACCGGCGTCACACAACAGACTTCTAGAGACTAAGTTTTTGGTAATTGAGGGAACATATTTTACATCCTTCAATGTGAGAGTCTTACCTGAAGAAAGAGTCAGCACCACAGTCCCAGTTTTAAGAACAGGAACCACAGAATGATTAGTCATTGATACGTTCTCTTTGGCAGCAACATAGGAAGAGAACAAATCTCTATTGGAGCAGACATAACAGGTAACACCTGTATCTAACCACCAACCAGAGATGTTGTTGGGAGTTACCACTTGAAAGAGCATAGCCACACAATTGTCAAGTTGATTAACATTATGTGTTGTTCCCTACTTTGGTGCTTTGCAATCCTTGGCAAAATGCCCTTACTTCCCACAATTGAAGTATTTTTCGCTCTTCTTGAAATCTTTCTTCTGAACATTCAGGTTCTTCGGATTATGATTCTTCTTTTTGTTAAAACGCTCTTCTTGAAATCTTTCTTCTGAACATTCAGGTTCTTCGGATTATGATTCTTCTTTTTGTTAAAAGATTTCTTTTTCTTAGAAGAAGAACTGAACATTCAGGTTCTTCGGATTATGATTCTTCTTTTTGTTAAAAGATTTCTTTTTCTTAGAAGAAGAACTGGTACCCTTCTCAGAGTTAGTAGCCACCATGTTAGCAGATGCCTTCTGCTTAGCTAGGAGCTCATTCTTAGTGCGAGTCCGAATATCGTCCTCGATCCGAATGAACCTTTTCAAATCAGACAGAGTCACCTGTCTTTTCCTTCTTTGAATGTTCATGGTGAATGACATCCAAGATGGAGGAAGCATGTTGATAATTTCTCTAGAAATGAATGTTTGGCAAAGATTAATCTTTTCATCCTTCAGCTTCATAACAAGCTTTTCGAGCTCTTTGACATGAGGCAAAACCTCAGTGTCATCTTCGAATTTGAAGTCCAAAAACTTATCAATAAGGTGAGACTTGGAAAGCTTCTCCTCATCCTTGTATTGCTCCTTTAGAGCATTCCAGATTTCCTTTGAAGAGGGTTTGTTGGTGTAAGTATTTACCAGATGATCAGTCAGGCAGTTAATGAGATAACTCCTACAGAAATGATCATCTTTAGTCCAAAAGACTTCCGACTCAGAGTCTTCTTCAAAGTCAGGTTTCTTTTCAGAAACCACATAGTAGATTTTCAGGAGTTGCATCCCAAAAATCACTTTTCGACGCCATGCGTTAAAGTCAGATCCATCAAAGTTTTCTAATTTGAGACATTCCACTCCAAGAGTCCTTGTAGGATCCATTAGTAGATCTAAAATATTACTTTAAGATTGTTAGAAATTATAGTTAAATCTGGAATTAAATAGTGAAGGATGATGTGATGTAATTTTAAACTTTTTCAGATTAACTGCTGTGCGTTTAAGAAACACTATGCTTAAAGTAATATTTGGCATACTCCGGTGCAAGGATCCTAAGGCCAAACTACTTTTAGGAATAGCAGTACAGTACTCTGGTGTGCACCAACCCAGTACTATTAAGATCTCCTTGATCTATAAGACCTTTCGGTCAAGGCAAAGATCTCCTCGATCTCAGAACCTTTCGATTCAAAACCTTTCGGTTTAAGGGCAAGTTCCTGCAGGCACAGTTTCTGCAGCAGCAGCACTTACAGCAGCAAAAATATCGATCCGACGTTCGTTTTCCAAGCTTACGTGTGTATACCGATGTTCGTATTCCACGCTCACGAGAGACTATTCATGAGCTGCCCAAGGGCACTATTTATAGGCCTCTAAGGCCAGCTCAAGAGTCACTCGTAATTAATGTGACTATTATAATTCTCAATGGTAATTAAAATTGTAACATCAATGCATTAAATTGCTCTTAAATACTGTTGTAACTGCTGCATGTAATAACTCCTGAATACGAGGTAATCAATGGACGCGTTGCTACGAAATGCAAGGGTCACGACTTAGCAAATCAGACGAACCTCGTCATACAGGCAAACCTCATATGACAGACGAATCTCGTCAAACAGGTGAACCTCATATGACAGACGAACCTCATCGAATGAGCGAACATCGTCGAACGAATGAACATCGTCAAACAGGCGAACCTCGTATGACAGACGAACCTCGTCAAACGAGCGAACCTCATCAAATAGGTGAACCTCGTATAACGAGCGAACCTCGTCAAACGAGCGAACCTCATATGACAGACGAACCTCGTCTGTTCTTATGAATCAGTCGAACCTCGTCTGACTTCGATAATGCTATGATCACACCCTCGTGTGAATACGTAGTTCGTCCGCATGCTGCGAAGCAGCTTGCGAGGTAACCTTCGTGACGACCATAGTGGCGCCAAACAGCGCCACCTTGCCCCGATGCCTCCGTGCGAAGTGCGCATAACAAAGCACCATTTATCACCTCAGCCCGATTAGCCCCGATCCCCGGCCCATTGGCCCACGATCCACGGCCCACGGCCCACGACCTATGGCCCATGACCCACTAGAACTTATGAGAGATTAATTCAAATAAAATACTTCTCGGCTTACCGTTGGCAAGCCTCGAACAAGGGACCTTTTGAAACACCAAAATATAAACTTTCAACTAGGCTACTAAGCATTTATGAAAAGTACTTGTAGTTAATATATATATATAGTCATTTTGGAAAGCGGTTTTGACCAAAAAATCCAACAAAACCTACTATGATCCTTAGTGTAGGTTGAACCTAGTAATGAAAGAAGTGGTTAGAAAAGACATTTTGAAATATCTTGATAATGGGATCATTTATCCTATTTCACATAGTTCTTAGGTAAGTCTGGTCCAAGTAGTTCTAGTTAAATCTGGGATCACTGTCATCTAGAATGATACTAATTAGTTGATTTCCACTCGAATGTTTACTGGATGACAAGTCTAAATTGATTACAGGAAACTCAATTTAGCCACCCGAAAAGGTCACTTTAGTCTTCCTTTCATAGACTAAATGCTTGAATGTTTAGCAAGATACGAGTTTTATTATTTCTTAGATGGTTATTCAAGTTACAATTAGATTCCTATTGCCCTTGAGTATTGGTTTGAACTTTTCATTCTAAAATTCTTTATTATAAGCTAATATATTTGCTGTAGATTATGAGTTTGATATTGGTTTGGCTATTTTGTTTTCTAAGCCCTATTTGTATATACCACGATCATGCCTGGGCTGAGTTCTATATATAAAGCTCATAGTAATAGAAAATTTATTCAATTACCAAAAAAAAAAGAGATTGAGTGTGGTCCAGTTTCACGTTGCTCATTTTTCCTACTATGGATTAATTTAAAATTGTCCTCATGTTATCAAGACGAGTACATTGAATTTGTTAAACAAGAGAAAAAAATAGAAAAAGGAACTTAATGCTTATAATCTACGATAAAAAAAAGAAATTATGGTTGAAGAAGAAATAGAAAGAGAAAATTATTACTTTTAACATTTGTTATTCTAAAAGTGTTAAGGGAAGTGACAAGAGGGCTAAAGAGTAACATACAGTGACAATATCAAGTAGTGGTTGAGCAAGGAGGAGAAAGTGAGAGTTATTATCTTTTACAATTTTATTAAGAATCACTATCTTTGAGAAGACTGTCATATTTGTTTATTAAGTTGTTACACATTATGTTTCTCAAATCTATATGTGATTAAACATTATTTTTTATCATAAATTGTTACCATTTTTTAATAAAATTATTATATTTCGTGCATAATATATTACCATTGTTCATAAAATTGTTACCTATTACACGTAATATCTTACCTTTATTTTTTAAATTATTATCTTTGTTCATAAAACTATTATCCTTATTGATCAAACTATTACCTTTTGTGTTTTTCTAAGTTATGTTATAAAATGTCATTTTTAGTCACAAATCTTTTTGCTTTTTGTACATAATATATTACCTTTGTTCATAAAATTGTGACATCTATTCATAATACTATTATTTTTGTTGATTAAGATGTTACCTCTTTTATTGCAAACTATTATCTTTGTGCATTAATTATTACCTTGCAGCGAGGAGTGTTATGAGTGAGGTGAGAAGGCGATGAAGAATGACAACACAATAAAGAAAGAAAGAGGAGAGGAGTCAAGGGGAAAAGAGAATGCAGAGGAGGAGAGGTGATAGAGGAAAAAGAGGGATAGAGGATGAGAATCATAAATAACAGAGGAGAAGAAGAGAGGCATGCGAAGCAAATAAAGAGGCGAGGCAAAAGAGGAGGAGAGGTGTGGTAGAGGAGGATAGGCAAAGAAGAAGAAGAAAGAGATATGACAAAGGTGGTGCAATTGAGATAAAAGAGAATAAACCACAGAAAAGAAGAAAGAGAGGGAGGAAGAGGCGAGGTGGCAAAGGAGGTAACATCGACATTGAAAGAGAGGCAACGTCATAGGAGATGGTAACAAAGAAGAGAGATGAGAGAGGAGGAGAGAGATGAGAAATGTTCATAGGTATATAGGAGAAATGGGAAGGTAACAAAAGATGGAAAAGGAGGAAAATAAGTGAGAAGAAACTAAAGAAAGAGAGTGCTTGCGGAATTTTTAAGAGTTCATATGAGATAAATGAGTGCATTGGAGTGGTCTTTGATCCATGATATTAAATATACACCAAGGATATTAATAATTAATAATTGGACCTCGAGATTCATGCATGGATCTAATGATTGACATTCATTTAATACATGTCAATTGAGGTGGACTGTCCCCACTAAATACTTTGTTTACGGAAATATGGTTATTTAGGTCAAGGATGTTTTACGCATGTCAGAAAAGATTAGGGAGGAGGTTGCTCGGATTCTTTTATTGGAGGGAGAGGATGCAATTTTCCTTTTAAAAATAGTTCCATACGGTATTTTGGTGATTATGGAAGTAGTGGAGGTCTAAAAATAAACGTGGTTAAGTTTGGCTTTGTAAGGGGAAAAAAACCATTTCTTTTTCTTAGAAATGAGCTGGAAACACTCTAGGGAGAGAGGGCGCGTCGGCAGCTCCCCGTGGGGTAAGTCTTAATTGCTTGGGCAGTCTAATAGAGACGATGGCTTGGGCAGTGCTTCTCATCCTCGCTTCGTTCCTCACTCTTCCTCTCCCCTTCCTCTCCATCGCCTCTCGTCTCCTCAATCACAACGGTAAGTTCAAGAGGCGATTCATGCTGTCGTTCTTCTCCGTACATCTTCTGCTGTGCGCCGCCATCTTCGCCCTCTCCGATCTCGATTCTTCATCCTCTTCCAACTATCACGGATTGATCTCCGAGCTCGACGATTTGAATCTCAAGGTCTCCAGATTAGGTCCCATTTCTCTCCCCCTTTTTTTGATTTCCTGCCTTCGGTAGTTTATTTGTTGTGATCTGTCCATTAACAAAAAGAGCCAACTTGTTGATGTCTGATGATAGAATTAGCGAAAATCCAATATCATCACTTTAAAAACTGATGAACCTAGATGTAAGGGTTCTTTCATGTAAACTGACTGATCCATCTATAGTTCAACATATATTGACAATTATCCGGCACCCAATTTTCTTAAGCTAGAATTGGGGGAAAACACAAATATTACATTTCTATGCATATTATACAAAGTAGCACCGTGATGGAAATTATTTTACAACGGCAACGGCCATGTAGTAACCTTGATGACCCAATTACACCCACAAAGCAAATTGAATTATAAATGTAGGATACGGATAATTACACGCATGCAATAGGGTAAACCTGTAGCTAGATTATGCACAACGGAAAACAAAGAAAGTATGACATGCGTCTAGTAACCATAAACAACAAATTTAGGGTTTACCAAATAGATTGTTTCTATAGGATCATCACGTCTTTCTTGATCAACGGCCGGATAGCGACCACACTGTTCAACCAACAAGAAACCCCGGCATATCACCCCCGCAGCTTCCATATAAAGCACGTTCGAACAAAGAAGGAGATGATGCCTATATGAATGTTTTATCGCATATATCCCCTCCGTGTTTCATGAAAATCTCTACATCTCTATATAAGGGCTTAGAGATAGAATCCTACATTCATCAGGATTATAAGCATCTTATCTCTAAGATAAGATATTATTCACCCACTTATTTAGGTATCTATCTCATAACCATAACTAGGATACTCACACTCACACAAATGAGTGAGTGCTTATTCGTTGCTTCATAAACTGATTCCCTGAGAACTTGACTCCCTGAGTCAAAGTCTCCCTAAGAATCTCCTTTCTTTTTAAATCCATGTCCATATATAGTTAGTGCAGCGTGGACCGTTGAGAACCTGCAAGTGGGTAGCCTTGTAGCAAGATCCGTTAGGATCGACATAAGAATTTTTCTAAAAGAAAATATACAGCAAATAATATAAGTATGTTGTATCTTGTACCCTAGATCTGATCAGTCACGTTTGCTTAAGTATGTTTGCGTCAGAAATTGATTTCTTCATTGTCATTGAATCTACTACAATCGTTTATCGATTGCAAATTCAAAAAAGGAGAAAAGTCGATCTTTTTATAAGATCTTCTTACACAATGAAAAAATAAACAAATACCATCTCCTTAAAACACACGCAACAGACTTTTATCACCCGCTGCTTCGCGTGGGATCTTTGCCTGTGTCGAGGATGCGTTATTCTGTGGACCGTCACGGATCAGATCCGTTTAACAGTGATAGATTAATGCTCTTGCTTCACAAAAGAAACAATCGCAGAAGTGATAATCTCGACCAAGCGAGATTACGATTCTTCTCGAGACCAAAACCAAGTTTGATCCGGAGGAAAGGGGGAACGGGCTTCAAATCTCTCGAATAGCTTCCTCTTTATGTTGAAGCTCGCTAAGATCTGCTAGCTCTCCTCTGAAATTCGTGCTCCACTCTTCAATTTGACACCACCTCATCCTCTGATTTCAGATCCCTGCAAATGAAGGCCCTAGGCTTGTATTTATAGGCTTCGGTTGTAGTGTTTCCGATAAAAACTGATGATTTAACGTTATCCGCAGTTAACAACCGCTTAACCACGTTCAGGGGTAGTATCCAAGCTGTTAGAAGGCTCTGAAATGATCAAATCCCGTGAAAATCTGTCGAAAACGCGTTTTCGACTGCGAGCCACCAAATGGTGGCTCACGCCCATGCGATCAAATCCCGTGAAAATCCGTCGAAAACGCGTTTTCGACTGCGAGCCACCAAATGGTGGCTCACGCCTATGCGAGCCACCATTTGGTGGCTCGGCCTTAGGCCGAGCCACTGGCTTTGGCCGAGTTGTTTTAACACGACTCGATCGCTAGGGGTTTTTCCGGTTCGTTCGGGTTGGACTTGTTTCGTCGTTACGTGGATTTCGTCGTTTCGTTGACTTGTATGCTTCACCGATTCGTTTCATCCGTTTCGTTAACTTGGAGGTGGTCGGTGAACGTGCTGGCCATTTAGAGTTGGCCAGCGAGCGCGCGAGTCACGTGAAGGTGGCTGATTAGCGTGCGGACCACTTGGAGGTGACCGGTGAGCACGCGGGCCACTTGGTTTGCCGTTGCGGTGGTTTGTTGCTACGTCATTAACGGTTCACCGATTCGCTTCATGTGTTTGTCGGCGTCAGATAATCTTTTTGACTCGGATAATGATGTTTATCGTTTTTTCTCCATTTCGAGCGTGCGGGAACCTATAGGTATTTTTTGACTCCTACAGATACGTCCTTTAAAGTGTTTCAGTCTCGTTTCTTTTATAGAAGAACCTGAAATACTTTAGATGTGATAGGTCCAACCTTTAGTCGGTGTAAAAGGACTTGTAATTGGCTTCAGTTCTTGACTTCTTTAATTCTCAGTCTATTCAGTATTTTGTCGAATAGCTAAAAATTTTCCGGCTCTGCGTTTATCGTCTGATCGTTGTCGAAGTCTCGAATTGAAACTGGTGTGTTGATTGCTGATTTTAGCTCGTGTCGTTAAGTCGACGTTGATTTGATTATCTTCATCAGGGATTCGTATCCGAATTACAATTGAACTCTCTGGGATTATCCTTTGTTTCAGAGTTGATCTGAGTCTTGTTTTCGCGAGAATTGACGACGCGTTGATTGACGTTGACTTTGATTGCAACGCGTTGACTAGCGTTGATCTTCATCGCAGCGCGTTGACCGGCGTTGACTTTTATTTGCAACATGTCCAAAGTCTTTTGTAAAAACTTCGGTTGGAATTGATATTCCGGGTGTTTTAAGTTACGAGACCAACTGACAAAACTGGTGCATTAATGACTATCGTACTTATAGAATTTTTGACAAATCCTTAGCCATAAACGGGTTTGACGAGCCTTTATCGACTACCATTTGAGTCGGGTTAGTATGCGGATTGTTTAAGTCCGTTCCATAGGTGACGTTATGCTAAAAGAATAAACTCTCTTAGACTTGATGCTATGATATTGAATATATAGACTTCGTCATTTGTCACGGGAATAGACTAGCTGGCAATGTGTGTTAGGCGCAGACTTTAGGATTTTTGATAAACCCTCAGCCATCAACAGATTTGATATATCTTTACTGATTACCGTTTGAATCGGGATTGTATATGAATTATCTAAATCCGTTTTACATGTGACGTTGTGCTACGAGAATGAACTCTCTTAGACTTGGTGCTATGATATGAATACATAGGCTTCGTTCTTTTTACGGGAAAAAACTAACCGACAACGCGTATTAGGCGTTGACTTATCTCTACTTAGGATTGGGGATAAAAGCCCCATGCGTGTAAGGCGTGGATTATGGTGTTATTAATAACGGCCTATCACGATGTCGAATACGTGGATTTTTATCCTTTTTACGGCGAAAGACTAACCGGCAACACGTGTTAGGCATTGACTTATCCCTACTTAAGATTCGAGATAAAATTCTCCATGCGTGTAAGGCATGTATTGTGATGTTATTAATAACGGTATGTCACGATGTTGAATACGTGAGTTTTTGTCCCTTTTACGACGAAAGACTAACTGGTAACGCGTGTTAGGCGTTCACTTATCCATACTTAGGATTCGGGATAAAATTCCCCGTACGTGTAAGACATGAATTATTGTGTTACTAATAACGGTCTATCATGATTTTGAATACGTGAGTTTTTATCTTTTTTACGACGAAAGACTAACCGGCAACGCGTGTTAGACGTTGGCTTATCCCTACTTATGATTCAGGATAAAATTCTCCATGCGTATAAGTCATGGATTATGGCGTTATTAATAACGGCCTGTCACGATGTTGAATACGTGGGCTTTTGTCCTTTTTACGGCCAAAGACTAACCGACAACGCGTGTTAGGCGTTGACTTATCTCTACTTAGGATTCGGGATAAAATTTCCCATGCGTGTAAGGCATGGATCATGGCGTTATTAATAACGACTTGTCATGATATTGAATACGTGGGCTTTTGTCTTTTTTACGACGAAAAACTAACCAACAACGCGTGTTAGGCGCTGACTTATCCCTACTTAGGATTCAGGATAAAATTTCCCGTACGTGTAAGGCACGGATTTTGGCGGTATTAATAACGACCTGCCACGATGTTGAATTCATGGGCTTTTGTTTTTTTACGACGAAAGACTAACCAGCAGCGCGTGTTAGGCACTGATTTATCCCTACTTAAGATTCAGGATAAAATTTTCCGTGCGTGTAAGACACGGATTTTGACGTTATTAATAACGGTCTGCCACGATGTTGAATACGCGAGCTTTTATTATTTTTACGGCAAAAGACTAACCGGCAACGCGTGTTAGGCGCTGACTTATCCCTACTTAGGATTCAGGATAAAATTCCCCGTACGTGTAATGCACGGATTTTGGCGTTATTAATAACGGCCGACCACAATGTTGAATACATCAACCTCTACAAAGTTTTTAAATATAGGATGTCGGGAAAATATTAGATGGACAAAATTCATATTAGATTGTGGATATCGGGTAAATATCAGGGTTCTGGTAAATATTGGAATGCCATAAAGAATGTTTGCATATATAGTATAATCTACTAAAATATAATCTCAACATACTTAATTAAATCTAAACATACAAAATGTAAATTATATATATTTATAATAATTATCAACCTTGTAAACAAACAAAAGCACAAATCAACGTTGCAACATTTCATCGAAATTTTAGGCCATAATGTCATTTAATATAATAGGAAAGTCATGATATCTCGCCCAAAAATTGCCAAACGCGATATCTTATTTCGTATGAAGTCATATAGAAGAATATATCGGTCAACACATTAGCTAATATATTGGCCATATCGGGGATGTATATAAGCCCAAAATAGCCAAAAAACAGTAAAGGATATTTAGAG